CCATTTTGGTGAGTGACTAGCATGAAGAAACGAAGACTAGTTCGACAGACGCGCAGGCGCGACTACCGGAGAGTCGATCGTTTGTTTATTTAAGAAAATGGCTGACTCCTTGGCAAAGTACGGGATTTACATTGACGATTTAAGTAAAGTCCGTGTATTAGAACCGGAAGTGGCTAATCAGACGAATAAGCTTAAAGAAGAATGTCAGAATTTCGTTTCGAGTGAGTATTATGGAGATCATTGTAATTACGCAATGTAATCTGCATTCGCTTACTGTTTTGGTATGCGTTACTACATTCGAATAGCGTTATTATGAGACACCTCGCTTGGCTTACCTCGTTGTCACTTATTCTCCGTGAGTTCAATAATTGATCAGTACGTCACCGTGCAAAACAAATGCACGCACATGCTTTCGACAGTAATTACTGCCATCTACATAGGTTGCCGCCTTTGGAAGGAATCTTAACCAGCGTTTCAAAATGACTGTATGGTATTACAGTTCGGTGGTTTTTATATTAAATATCTAGACAGAAGCGTTTACGTTATGCATATAATTTCAGAGTTTATGATTTTTATTGTATATTTAAAACATTGTATTATCAATATTTTAAATATAATGTTGCATTTATATAGTCCGAATTATAACAATTTTTGAAGCTATAACTATGTATTTGAACCTTTTTTCATCTATTAAAATAAGAAACTTTTTAAAGTTTCGTTACAGTATTTATTTTCTGTTTGCCAGAGATCACAGAGTTTCAGACGAATTCTGACCAGTTTATACAGATAATAGAACAATTGGCAAACAAAGTTGAAAAGGAAAAAATGAAGACCATTGGGGCACGAAATTTACTTCGTTCTATGGCGAAAGAAAGGGATGCCCAAAAACAACAGATTCAGGTTCTTAGAAAATTGAAATAATTTAATGTTATATAATTAAAAACTTATGATAAAAAAGAAATTATAATTGTTTTTATGTAAAGAGTAATGTAATTTTATTAAAATGCCACCCAGGATAGTAATGAATTAAAATTAATATTTACGAAATTAGTACAAAAAAGTTAGTTTGTTAATTTTAATTATCTAATACAATTTAATGGAACGAAATGTTTATTAATTTCAGGCACAAATTATCGAGAAATCTGTGGAACTTGAGAGACTTCGTATACAATATGATTCCTTAAGAAAAATCGAATTGGAACAGTTAGAAACTATTGAACAATTGTCTGTGAATTAATGATCGGAAATTGTAAAATGTTTGTGTGTTCCCATGAATCGAGGAGTACAAGTAAAGTTACCAAAGATAATTAGAGCGACATATATTATGAAACAAGATATTTATACATAAATTTATGACGAAGTTTGCAGTTAAGACGGTATCGGGGTTTAAACCCTTCTTAATAAGACGGCATCGAATGTACATACATATTGTGAAGGTTCTGAACCCCTGAATCAGAAAGGCACGTCAGTTAATTCTGAGTGATATTAGGTACTGTTACTAGTATTCATATGCTACTGATCACCTTGACAATAGTATAATTTTTTTTCCCCCTTTTCGTAAATGTTACGATTACTTTCTTTATATAATTATAAACAGTTTTTCATTACAATTACTGTCTACTAACAGCCGCAATTACATGTGAGCATTGGTAGAAGATGAATAACGATAAAAACTTTAAAGCAATTTCACTGATACCGCAGTTAATTTACGTTATTT